TCACCACTAGGAGATGGGTGAATTCAGTCACAAAAACTCGACAAAGTGTCAAGGAATTGTGCCCTACCGAAGGGAAGGAAATACAGCTCCCCTTCCCCCACTTCCTTCCCTTCCTCTCCCTGCCCCCATTCCTCTTGTGGATGAGATCACAGATCCTTCAAATATGTCATACAATCAGATACACAGATCTGTTGATCTGTAGGAAAAGAAGGCAGGAGCCGTGGCCAGTAAGTCCAAACAAAGGCGGCAGCAGCAGCAGCAGCAGCAGCAGCAGCAGCAGCAGACTCCTTCCTGCTCTGAGGCAGCAGATAAAAGCACAGGAATGTTGGGGTTCAGGGCTGCAATGAGGCCGGCTAATTGTATGTAATGGTGTCATTATAACTTTTGGAAGAAGAGAGTGCAAGGGAGACAGAAGAGGTCTCTTAGACTGGTTAACCAGATGACTTTGGCCTGTCTATGTTTGCATTCCCTGTATTCTGTGTGTCCCTAGGGAAAGTCTTGTGTGTTTGGCCATATACTATAGGTTGATTGAGGTCTTCAATTTAGAGTATGCCAACAGCGTGGCAATAATAACTTTGTCCCAAGGCCGGTGACACGTGTGTCGTTAACGTCACTGCTTTGTCCTTCCCTATTCTTTTGGGCATGCCTGGGACAGGAGTCATGGGACCCTGACAAAGCACCGAAGCATTTATTTACTAAGAAGAATGTTCTTCATAGTGGGAACGTTAGAACAAAAATGGCGGAGAGAGAATTGAAACCCAAAGGGAATGATGAGATGACAAGGAAGCATTAGCTGTCCTTCAGGAGTTCAAGTTCCCTAGTCCAGATGAGACATCCAAGAGAACTGGAAGACCTTGTAGATGTGATTGGTAACCCCTCATTGGCCAATGTTGAGTCATGGAGAAGACAGGATGTACCAAGGGACTGGAGAAAGGCAAATGCCCCTGGTTTCAAAAAGGGAAAAAGGGAAGATTCTCCAATGATCATGAACTTTGACTTTGACTCCTGGAAAATCTTTAGAATGTATTATTAAAGAGATGCTTCATGAGCACCTGGAAAAGGTCAACAGAGGTCATTAAGAGCCAGTGTAGATTTGTTAAAAACTAGTCCTGTCAAGGTAACCTCATCTCCATTTATTTATTTATTTGCAGTGTTACTAAGCTAGTAAGTTGGGGGCAATTCCATACACATGGTGCCCCTAGACTTTAGCAGAGTATTTGACAGTGTTTCTTATACTGCCCTGTGGACAAAATGGTAGGAGTGGTGTTGATTGTAGTGCCGTTAGGTAGAATCAGAGCTGGTTGAATGACTGAACCCCAAAAGTAGTCATTAATGGATTGACATCAACCTAAAGTGAGGTCTCTGGTGTAGTTCTGTACATCTCTGAGCTGGTTTCTCTTTTGTCAGATACGTGTGTGTATGTGTGTATGTGTGTGTGTGTGTGTGTATGTGTGTGTGTGTGTGTGTGTGTGTGTGTGTGTGTTTGCCGATAGCTTGGATGAAGGCACAAATGGAATGTTTATCAAATTTGTTGGTGAAACAAAGATTTAAGAGAAGCGGCTGACACATTGGATGATGGAGTTGACATCCCCAAAGTTTTAATAGGCTAAAATGATAATCTGCCACTAAGAAGATGAAATAAAATGGAGGAAAACATAAAGTCCTGAACTTGGCTCAAATAAATCAGCTGGGTGTTTTTTTTGTTAAGAATATCCATTTTACTTAGCCATGGAAAAGAAAGGATATCATTAAGTATATAGTATTGATTTGCCATAGTTTCTGAACCTCTGTAGTTTCCATAATTGACCATCAAAGTCGATGTAGGAGCTCTGGCTACTTTGTGACGTGGCTTTTGTGCTTAGAGTACTAGAAAGCTTTGTTAATGGGTCAAGCGGTTGTCCACTGGGCTAATGAAGCATTGAGTATAGTTTCAACTATCTTATAAGAAGGAAAAAAATACCCTGTCTCCTATGGAGTAAGGTCTTAGGAAGAATAAATCCAGCCAATATAGTAGGAACCCTAGTAGATATTGTTCCTGTTGGGCTCTATTAGTTTTGTTTTTTTTTTTTTTACTTTATTTATCAAATGAAAATCAACTTTAAGAACAAGATGTGGAGAGATTGGCTAGATGGTAATTTATGAAAATTTAAAAAAAAACCAAACCACCTATGGATTTTAGTCCTACTAGCTCAGTATGAGACAACAGTATGATATGGCAGTCAACGAAGCTAAGGATATTGGGCTCCATTCATAGGACAGTGTCCAGAATAAGGATGGTCAAGGTTCTGTTACACTCTGTCCTGGCTAGATCACAACTGGATTGTTTGGGTCTAGTTATTGGTCCCATATAGGAAGAGGACTAGCCAGCTGAAATGTGTGCCTGGTATGGTGAGGGGACTGAAAACCTGGGTAAGGGTTAGCTAAGTATTAGCTAAAGGAATTGGGGGTGTTAGTCCTAGAGAAGAGAAACAGGAGGAAACGTTCATGATGGCGGCATCTCTCTGTAATTGAGACATGGCACCATAGTGCACAGAGTGCTGGGCCTGGGGTCAGGAAGGCTCCTCTTCCTGAGTTCAGATCTGGCCTTAAACACTTAGCAGCTGTGTGACCCTGGGCAAGTCACTTAACCCTGTTTGTCTCAGTTTCTTCATCTGTAAAACGAGCTGGAGAAGGAAATGGCAAGCCACTCCAGGATCTCTTCCAAGAAAACCCCAAATGGGGTGAACAATAGCTTGTAGAAGAGAGATCAGAGGCATACAGTTCAATAAACATTTCCTGAGCATCTCCTATGGGTGGAGCATTGTGGAAATACAAAGCTCACTAAGACACAGTCCCAGACCTCAAGGAGCTTATGGGCTATTGGAGGAGATAAGGCGCCCAGTGCAAATCATTTTAACACAAGGAAACTGTGATGAGCACTCTGGGAGAGCTATCGGCCAAGTACTGTGGGAATGGGAAGGAGGGAGAGTTTAGGGCTGGCTGGAAGGGTTCAGGAGGGCTTCATGGAGGAGGAGGTCTGAGCCTCTACGGGTGGGTAGGATAGGCAGAGTACCACTGTGATCCTCAGGTGTGCAAGTGAGGAAGCACAGGAAGTGAGGAAGAGTGAAGAGTCCAGGTTGGCCAGAGCATAGGGATATGTATGTGCAATATATGAGTGTGTGCATGTCTGAATTGTGTGAGTGTGTGTGCACACGTGTGCGTGAAGAGGATCTCCGGGTCCCGTTTCCCTTTGGCGCTCCTGAGCTCTGACCTCCTCATTTGGATTTCTCATGCTGGTATGTGCCCTAAAACAAACGGGCGTGGCACCTTGCCAGTCTCAAAGGATTTTGTCTTTCCACTAACACGGGTTTTAGACTAAAAAAAAAAAATCAGCCATTTGTCTTTGCCATCTGAGTGGAGAAGAAATGCAGTGCTCTCTGAGTGTGGCCACTGACCACCGGCCCTGGTGTGGTTCAACCTTTGCCCTGCACAGGAGGGACCCAGGTCACCTACATGCAACCAGATGCCAGTACATGGGTACAGAGCCTGACCAAAGTCTACCCAAGCCATTATCTGTGTACACACACACACACACACACACACACACACACATGCAAATATGCACACAGGTGCACGGACATGTGTGTACACACAGACACACAGAGACACACACACTATGGACCCGTTCAATGTCACCCGCTCTGATAAATGGTTTCCTTTAACTAAAGCCTGTGACAAATATAGCTCTATTTAAAGGAAGGCCACATGGCATGGTGGGGGAGGGGGATGAAGGGTAAGAGACTGAGACAGGGAAAGTCAGGAGACACCTGGGTTCATGCCCCACCTCTGACATGTATTGTGTGACCATGTGTAAATTACTACCCCATCTGAGCCTCAGTTTCCCAGTCTATAAAATGGGTTTAATTATACCTGTACCACTCACACCCAAAGGGCTGATGTTAAAGAAAGCACTTTGTAATCACTATGGAAATATGGGATCGCGTTATTAAGGGTAGTGTGACTGGGAATTCCATTACAGACAACGATATTTGGATGTTTTGTTTGGAACTGTGATTTTATAGTTGTAAGGAGCTCCCAGTATGGGATATTTCCTCCACTAATGGTCTGTAACTTTTAATCTTAGGGTTGCTCAAGGCAATGAGATGTCAAATGACTTATCCAGGGTCACAGAGCCAACATGTGTCAAATCATATAAATAATAAATAATAAAATAAACAAAATTAATTAATAAATAACTGGAAAAATCAGGGGAAAGAGACTACAGGCATTATTACTTCTACTTTACAAAAGAGGAAAGTGAGACCCTGAAAAGTTAAGTGACCCACCCAGGGTCATACAGCCATTAGGCATCAGAGGCAGGATTTGAACCTAGGTCTTCCTGGCATCAAAACCAGCAGGCCATTGATTCCATCACGCTAGTCAACCACTTATAATGGGTCACATCTTGACACCATTAGGCTACATGGTTTCCAACCAGACACTAATAATATGGGAAGAGTTGTAAAGCTGAAAAGTTGACAACTTTGGATTGCTAATTGATTGGCAGAAGGCTAGGGAGAATAATGGATAGAGCACTGAAAAATTTAGGGGGAAGGACTGAGTTCAAATCCTGACTCAAACATTATTAGCTATGTAGGAAGTCACAACCTTTCTTAAATTTAATTTTCTCATCTGTAAAATGGGGACAGTAGCCTACATCTATATTGTAGGGTTGTCATGAGGATCGCATGACATTCTGTTTCTAAAGTTCTTTGCAAACCGAATACTGGGTGTTATTACTAATAATAAACCAAATATTCATTCAGAACAGTGCCAAGTTCTTGCTGCTTCTGGGGATCTTAAATAGGGGTGAGGGGAAGGATCTCTGAATGAGTTTCCTGAGCAGAAACGCCCCCTAAGTTGTATCTGAATGTTCTGCTCCCAGATTTAGCCTGTCTGAGCCCCTCTCAGCAGGACGGTACCAAGGACAACACCCACACAAAAGCAGGAAAAGCTGGTGTGACTCCCTGACCTTCTGGCCGGCTTCCCAGCAGTCAGAGCACCAGGGAAAACACAGAGACACGCTCACGTCAGGGAAACTTCCAGGGGAGCCCACATGATGCATGCAGCCCCTTCCTGAGCCCCCCGCGCTGACCTTGAATCCACAAGCCACCAGAACTGCCTGAAGGTAATCAGGATGTGACCCAGCTAATTACACACCAGCAATTCGCAACAGCTCTTTCTGTTCCTTCCTGGCCCCGGCTAAGGCTACGTCTGCACAGGCCAGATAGGCTTACAGAACGGACTTAAGAGACCAGTTAGTGCAACGTCCGTGCCGCCTTTCATTAAACCATATAGAACAACCATTGACCGTAGAAATGAAACGGATCCTCCAAAGTTAATCAACAAAGAAGATTCATCTCCTTTTCTCTGAGCTGAAGATACAAGTACAGAGAATGAAACCATCTCCGTTCTCAGGTAACTTGTATTCCCACAAGGCAGACGAGTGTCTATGTAAGTCACATACAGAATAAATACAGATAGATGTATATGTATTATGTGTTTATGAGCCCTAGGTTCTGTGGGACCTTAATGTAGGGATCAGGCAAAGGACGCCTATTTCCCCTACCACAAAGAGATGCTTAAGACACAGAAGACTCACTAAAGGTCACTGACAGATATTAAATCTGAAACAGTGACTCATTTTTCCTAGTACGCTCTCCTGGGAGGTTGAGGCTTACGGCATTAACACAGGAACCATTTGGTGGAACACTGCCAAACCGGGTGTTGCTCTCCTCTCGGATCTCTACTGTCTGAGCAGCTCACTCAAGAGCCATTTCTTCTGGCCAACCAGGACATGACTTGGGCTCATCCTCCTGTTTCTGGTCCTCTTCTCTTCCAAGAATTTGTTATGGGGATCCCTCCCCACGGGGCAGCTAGACCTTGAGACTAGGAGCTCTTGACCTTTCAAATTCATGAGGTACCCACAAAAGCTTTTGTTCAGTCATTTTTTCAGCCACGTCTGACTCTTTGTACCCCATTTGGGGGAGTGGTTTGCCATTGCCTTCTCCATCTCATTTTACAGATGAGGAAACTGAGGAAAACAGGGTTAAGCGACTTGCCCAGGGTCACACAGCTAAGAAGTGTCTGAGGCCAGATTTGAACTCATGAAGATGAGTCTTCCTGACTCCAGGCCCACCTAGCTGCCCCACAAAGGGCAGGAACATCCATCTTTCAGGACTGCTGTTTAGTCACCTGTGTTCAGGGAAGGAAACATGAATCAGAAGCAGCAGCTAGAGAATTGAGACCCATCTCAGGTTCTCCTAGACAGAACGTGCTGTGAATGCCATGTGTGAGTGGCCGCCATAACTGATACGGGTAGCAGGAAGAAGCATCTTCTCCTCTCCCCATGCTTCTCTTCCCCACTCATCTCCATCCCAAAGCAAGACAGAAAAAGCCTGAAGAGGGCTGACATATTTATGGACAGAAGAGAGGCAGGGATCTCAGAAATCTTGACCTCTTTGAAAGTGGGCATCTCCTCCTGATCAGAGGGCAATCCCATCCGAGGCAGTCTGTCACCCTCCCACCACTCCCCGTCCCCACCATCAGAGGGTGCTTTGTCATCCCAGAGGGCAAATCCTCAGGGCCCAACAAGGGTTTGCTGGATCACTGACCGTCCTTCAGAGCTGAGCCCTAGCTGATATGGGTCTAAAGGTGGGGTGCCGGAGGTATTGTCTGGATGTGGTAGGCAGGGGAGAGAAGACTCAATTATTCTTTGTCTCTTCTCAGCTCAGCCCTGACAATCGACAAGGAGAGTTACTCTAGGATACAGTCCTTCCCGCCTCTGCCAACCCTCACCCACCCACCCCCCCGACCCTGTCACTTCCTTTTGAAACCTCACACCTCTCCAAATCTCCCCACCGTTCCAAACTCTTACCTTGGGATGCCACCTCTCTGCACCCAGATGTACAGTCTTGTCAGAAATGGAGTCTGAGCAATTTCTTCTATTGAGCAACCCTCCGGATCCCAGTACTGTGGGCATTGATCACATCCACTATGGTACTGAGGGACTTTAGGGAAGAGAACTTGCTGTGAAATATTCCAACCAGTAAGAAATTTATTTCTTTCTAGAAGTGAGGCTCCAAGTGATGTCCTCAGAATGCAACTGGCCCTGAGAGGCCACTGACTCCATGACTATAGAAAAATCTCATTTCTTTTTTTTAATTTTTAAAATTAATTTATTTTATCAACAATCACTTCCATAAACTTTTGAGTTTTAAATTTTTCTCCCCTTTCCTCCCCAAGACCATGTGCAATCTGATATAGGATATACATACACATTGCTATTAAACATATTTTCACATTAGATTAGATTCACATTGAAGATTAGAAAGAAAGTAGAAAATTGGGAAAGAATTTTTACAACCAGTCTTTCTGATAAGGGCCTCATTTCTAAAATATATAGAGAATTAAGTCAAATTTGTAAGAATATGTCATTCCCCAATTGACAAATGGTCAAAGGACATGAACAGGCAATTCTCAGATGAAGAAATTAAAGCCATCTATAGTCATATGAAAAAATGCTCTAAATCACGATTGATTAGAGAAATGCAAATCAGAACAACTCTGAGGTACCATATCACACCTATCAGATTGGCCAACATGACAAAACAACAAAATGATAAATGTTGGAGAAGATGTGGGAAAATCGGAACACTAACGCATTGCTGGTGGAGTTGTGAACAGATCCAACCATTCTGGAGAGCAATTTGGAACTGTGCCCACAGGGCTATAAAACCGTGCATATCCTATGACCTAGCAATAGCACTTCTAGGGCTATATCCCAAGGAGATCACAAAAACAGGAGAAGGACCCACGTGTACAAAAATATTTATAGCTGCTCTTTTTATGGTGGCAAAGAATTGGAAATTGAGACAATGCCCATCAGTTGAGGAATGGCTGAGCAAGTCGTGGTATATGAATGTAATGGAATACTATTGTGCTATAAGAAATGATGAGCAGGCAGACTTCAGAAAACCCTGGAAAGACTTGTACGGTCTGATGCTGAGTGAGGTGAGCAGAACCAGGAGAACATTGTACACAGTAACAGTCATGTTGTGTGATGACTAATATTGATAAACTTAACCCTTCCCAGCAATACAAGGATCTAAGACATCTCCAAAGGTCTAATGATGGAAAATGTTATCTACATCCAAAGAAAGAACTATGGAGTTTGAATGCAGATCAAAGCATACTATTTGCTATTTTTTTTCTTCTGTTGTGTTTTGTTTCCTCTCTCTGGTGGTTCCTCCTATTGGTTCTAATTGTTACTTGCAATATCAGTAGTGTGAAAATATGTTTAAAAATCTCATTTCTTCTTCCGGTTTGATTGAACTTAAGAAATACCGGTGAAGCAGCTACTATGTATGAGGTGCTAGTCTCTAGGGATGTAAATATTTTAAATGGTAAGATGTTTTCTTCTTCTCCTTCCATTTTTTTTTTTGTGAGGCATTTGGGGTTAAGTGACTTGCCCAGAGTTGTACAGCTAGTAAGTGTTGTGTGTCTGAGGCTGGATTTGAACTCAGGTCCTCCTGACTTCAGAGTTGATACTCTATCCACTGAGCCACCTAGCTGCTCCTCTTTTCCTTCCATTTTAAAAGAAGAAATGCAACCTCCCTCCTTTCTTTTGAGAGATGGGGGACTATGGATGCTGAATGCGGCATATACAATAAGATATGGACAATATATTGGTTGGTTTTGCTTAACTGTTTTTCTTTGTTACAAGGGAAGGTTCACTGTGTGGGGGAAGGGGGGGCAGGAAGTAAGCCATATTAGGAAATTAATGTGAAGTAAAAACAAAAGGCATAAGAAAATGTTAACTTTTTTTAAAAAGAAGAAATGCCCCATCCCCATGTTTCATCCCGGGGTTCCAGGGACGAGTTCATCAGTATTTGCAAAGCACTTGAAGATTGTCTCAGAGGAGCTGAGGACAAAGTGTTTTTCCTAGAAACACATCAAGGACCTTTCATTCCCAGTCCCCCTTATTCTCCAAACACGGAGCCTGCTGCCTAAAGCCAGAGAAGACAAATTCAGCCTTTGGAGTTTGCATCCCGAGAAGTAGAAACTCCTTCAGGGGACAGGGTTGTTTGGCCTCCTGGTTCTTATTCTGGGCAACATTCCAGAATCTTAATGTCTTCCTCAAGTGGGACATTGGTTCTGTCTCAGTCTTCCTATAATCAAACTCCCCACCCCCCACCCCCGGATGTCTGCCTGGAAAGCGCAGGAGCTCCAGAGAGTCTGGGCTGAAGATCTTCCAGCTCTCTGGCCATCACTGTCCCAGGAATGTCTGGAATTGAGGATTCTTCACCACCCTCCTTTCTGGCCAACAAGGGGCCCCAACAGGCTCCCTTCAGATGGCTCTGGGCCCTCCAGGTCTGCTGAAAACACTACCAGTGAAGGACAGGGCAAAGAGGTCACACAGGAACACGAAGAAAAGAAACAGGAAGCCAGGCCGGGATTTTGAAGATAAGAATTTCTAAGAGAGAAGCTATACCAAAGGAGTGGGTGGTGAGGAGAGAGAGGAGGAAGTTTCTTCGATTCTCAAACCCCTTGGAAAAGTCACATCCATCAGGGCTAGCCGGGAGCCACGCTTCTGATTGGCCACTGAGAAAAGAAAGGAGCACAGTCTTCAAGGGACAGGACATGAAGGGAGAAAACTGCTTGGGAAAAGGGTAGCTTAGGGGGTACAGAGCTGGCCCTGGAGTCAGGGAGAACTGAGCCTTAAAGACTTATTAGCTATGTGACCCTGGGTAAACCATTAACTTCTGTCTACCTCAGTTTTCTCATCTGTAAAATGGAGATAATAAATAGCACCTACTTCCCAGAGTTGTTGTAAGGAACAAATGAGGTAATATTTGTTAAAGGGCTTTGCAAACATTAAAATATTACATAAACGCTAGTTGTCATCAACACGATAGAAGGTCTTTTTTTTTTTTTTAATTTAGATTTAGTATGGAGACTTTTGGGACCAGCTCTGTGGCATAATGGATAGAGTGCCAGACCTGGAGTGAGGAAGACTTACCTTCCTGAGTTCAAATCTGGTCTCAGACACTTACTAGCTGTGCAATCCTAGGTAAGTCATTTAACTTCTGGCTACCTCACTTTTCCCATCTGTAAAATGGAAATAATAATAGCACCTACTTCCTAGGGTTGTGGTAAGGAACAAATGAGATATCTGCAAAGGCCTTTGAAAGTTTAAATCACTATATAAATACCAGCTATCATATAGCCAGATATTTTTCGAAAGGGCAGACGATAACCCAGCACAGGGGCCATTCCATCAAGATGGCGACCACCCCCAAAGGTATCCACCTCACTCCACCATCTTCACTTCTTTTCACCAGCCTGCCTTCCAGTTACAGGCATTTAACCTGTTATCTTCCCTTTATCCTCACTGCTACAAATAAAATAGCCAAAAA